TTATTCTACTGAGCCATCTCCCCAGCCCTAATCCAAGCTCTTGAGAGGCTGTAAACAGGCGGATCACTATGAGTCAGATCTAGTAGTGAGACCCTCAACACCCTGGAGACCCTTCCCTAAAATACAATTAATTAACTAATTAACTAACAGATTTGGGAACCAAGGTGTTAGATAAGCAACTTTCTAACTTTCAGTCCACTCTCTTAACCTAAGGTCTACAGTTCAAAATGCTGTTCAGGGAAGTGTCTCTGGCAGCTGACTGAAAAACTCAGGAGCAGCTCTAAGGACTCCGTGAATGTGAAACCAGCATTAGGGGACCAAGCAGTTATAATGGGAATTGAGCGAAAAAATGATTTTTTTTTTCCCCTCACTTCAAAGGGCTTCTACATAAAGCTCAGAGTTTGGTAACTTGATGAATGTTGGTTTCGTTGAGAACAGGAAGACTCCTACCTAGTAGAAATAGCTTTTCTCTAGTCCTAGTTCAACATTTTAGACATACAATCCAAATCTATATAGGTTTACTAGTTTCCCAAAGCACTTAATAAGGTGCTGGTCGCACACAGCAGTGAAAAGCCAGTTCCAAGAGTCACAGAAGAGGACAAAATAAAAGCGTGCATGCGGCAGGAAAGCGCGGCTTGGGAGCGCGCACATCCTGCAGGCTGGCGGAGCCTACTACAAAGGGAAAAGTGGGACTTGGCCGCGAACTACGACTTCCACAAGGCATTGAGCAGAAGACCGGACTTCCGGTTGTAGTTCACTTCCGGCCTCCGGGTTGCTGACGTTCTTTTCCGGTCGTGGTGGCACTAGAGAGGCAATGGGGCTACAAGCGGTGAGTCCGGGACGCAGCAGGCACGAGTGGGTGAGGTGCGAGGCTTGCGTTTGCGCGTCACGCAGCCGCTGGAGGGTAGCACGGGAAGGGCGGAGGGTGCGCCGGCGGGTGAAGTGTAACCTTGGCAGGAGGATGGGCAGAGCAGAGAGGGACCCCAAGACCCAGAAAGGGATTTGGGGACCGAGATGAATGGGACACCTGGAGATGGAATGGCGGGGTGGGTGGCAGGGTCGAGACTGCAGCGGATCCGAGATCGGCATCGCCAGATTGGAGATCGGCATCCCTTGCTAGCCGTCTTCTGGCCACGCCGTGTTCTTTCAGATGAGCCACCAATTGAGAGGCACTTGGGGCTCCTGATAGAAAGAAGGCAGTAGATAATGCTGGGGCGCCTGGACCAGTCTTCAGGCTGAGGGTGGAGATGGTTGGTGGGAGGAACTAGGGAAAGGTTAGCACCAGTGGCTTTTCCACTGGTCTGTGGAAGGGGTAGCTGCTCTGGAAGAATCAAAGATGATGGACTTCTGAGGAGGCTGGCAGGAGGACTTGGTGACTTACTTTCTTGGATTGACTGCTCACTTTGTTCTCCAAAGATGATGCTGCTGGCATTTGTGACATTGGCTCTACTAGCTGCCTCTCGAGCAGAGGAAGGAGCTAGGCTTTTGGCTTCCAAATCACTGTTGAACAGATATGCCGTGGAAGGGCGGGATCTGACCTTACAGTACAACATCTACAATGTTGGCTCAAGGTAAGGGTGCCCTGAGATTTCAGACTGGGCCCTCTTTGGGTTCTTAGTTCTCAGATGGGTCTAGGAAACATCTGTTTTTAGTGATTTGGGGAGACCTCTAGCATTAAATATCATGAGTGTATGGGCTGGTGAGATGGCTCAGTGGTCTAAAGCACCTACTTAGAACAAGCTAAGCTAAGCATAAAGCACAGGGACCGCGGTTCAATCCCAGAGCACCACATGCCAGCCAGCCCCGCCCCCTGGTGGGCT